AGTAGGCTTATATCTCCAATTAACCAAAAAAAAAAAAAAAAAAGGAGGTAGAAGTAGAGCTGTGGCTTAGGTGGTAGAGTGTTAGTCTTGAGCAAAATAGCTTAGAGACAGTACTCAGGCCCTGAGTTCAAGCACCAGTACTGGCATGTGCATACACAATTGTACATACATACACACACACAAACACACACACGTGCACACTCAAACAATGAAGATACTTCTCACAAAGAAAAGCTTCTGTCAAAGCCGGGCACCAGTGGCTCATGCCTGTAATCCTAGCTACTCAGGTGGCTGAGATCTCAGGATCATGGTTCAAAGCCAGCCCAGGCAGGAAAGTCTATGAGACTCTTATCTCCAATAAACAAGCAGAAAACTGGAAGTGGCATTGTGGCTCAGGTGGTAGAGCACTAGCTTTCAGCTAAAGAGCTCAGCGACAGAGCACAGGCCCAGAGTTCAAGCCCCATGACCAACAACAACAACAAAAAGAAAAGCTTATGTCAGATAACTTCCCAGGAATTCTAACAAAATATTATAAAAAATTGAGCTGGGTGCTGATGGCTCACGCATGTAATCCTAGCTACTAAGGAGGCCAAGATCTGAGGATTGTGATTCAAAGCCAGCCTGGGCAGGAAAGTCTGTGAGACTCTTATCTCAAATTAACCTCCAGAAACTGGAAGTGGTGCTGTGGCTCAAGTGATAGAGCTCTTGCCTTGAGCTGAAGAGCTCAGGGACAGGGCCCAGGCCCAGAATTCAAGCCCAAAACTGCCCCCCCCGCAATTGAAACCATAAATTCATAAACTCATAAACATACAAAGTAGGAAATATTTCCCAACTCTATGAGGCCTGTATTTTCAAGAGAATAAAAGTACTTAAAACATCCTTATGAACAAACACAGAACTCTTATTGGAACACTAGAAAACCAAACCCAGTAATACACAGAAAGAATTCTACACCATGAGCTAGAGAGATTTACCTTGGGAATGCAAGGTTAGTTCAATAGCTGAATAGTGAAAGAGTGTTTGAGAAGGTGTAATTTTTTTATGAGTAAAAACAATGGCTGGAGGCATTGCTTAAATGGTAGAACACTTTGTGGTAAGTAAAAAGTACTGAGTTCAATCCTCAGCTCACCAACAAAACCCCTAAAGTAGTATTTTTTTTTAAGGAGAGACAGAAAAAAACTGAACCATATCAGAAAAGGCCCCACTTCCAATGACATTACCTTTAGGATGAAATTTTTGCAGATAATTTGGGGGAGGATACAAATATTCAGACCATATGGGTCCAGTCTTGTTCATGTGCACTTGTATTTATATCAGCTTTTGTATATACATCTGTGCACATGTGTGTCTGTGTTTGTCTCTATGTTTGCATTTTCTTTGTGGAACTGAAGCATGTTTTTCATCACTCCCTGTGACTGTCCCAGATCTAATGTTTTGCATTAGTGACAGGTAACAATAACCCCTGGGTTTCCTAGGAAAATATTTATGGGCATTTGTGCCTGACAACATCTAAGGATATAAATACTAATATTTAACCAGGTGATCAGTTGAAGAACCTGAGAGGTAAAATTGATTCATCTAGTGTCACTTACCTGGTAATGAGTTAGGGGTGGGTCTAGATCTTCCACTATCTCCTGGAAGCTGAGGCACTGGGTGACAGAGACAGTGGGGTAAGAAGCAGTCAAAAGCCCAAGAGTTCTTTATAGAGATCCTGTCTGAGGAAGAGACTCAAGAAAAATACCTCTGTTCACCTCCTTGGCAAACAGAGCTGGAAAAAAGAGAGCTTAGAATCCAAGTAACTAGGCGGCACATTCCATAGCCAACCCCATCCTACTTACCAACTCACTTGAGAGTATACAAAATGCTTTCTTGCTATTGCCCAACTTCTATTGGCTCAGGCCTCAGGAATCTTGGGGAG